CAATTCAATCACTTTTCGCATGATCGTATTCACCGTAGAAGAAGCGACTTTTCCGTACTCTCCTTCAATTTCTTCTTTTCCGTCATTCACGACGTACTGCAAGACTTTACGCAAGTCTTTTAGGTCGATGAGCGGAAGTTTTTTGTTGTCGCAGAAAACGAAAATCAGGGAAATAACACTCGATTGAGTGTCGTTCAATCCTAAAATCTTCGAAAGGAGCACTGGCCCGAATTCAGAGATGGTCGCTTTTAGTTTTACACCATCGCTGTTGGACATCGTCATTAATTCAACAGGCAATCCCATTGGCTCGTATGGAAGTCCAATTCCCGCATGTCGGTTTTCAATAAAATCGTTGGAGCTTCCCGGAGCTGCAATTCCACTCAGGTCACCTTTGATGTCCATCAACAACGAAGGAATTCCTTTTTTGGACAATTGTTCAGCGATTACCTGAAGCGATTTCGTTTTTCCCGTACCTGTGGCCCCGGCAATCAGTCCGTGACGGTTCAGTGTTTTCAACGGAATTTTGATATGTGTATCCTGGACAGCTTCTCCATCCAGCATTGCTCCACCAACGGTGATAAAATCTCCTTTGAACGTATATCCTTCTTGAATGCTCTTTTGAAATTCAGCGATTTTCGACATGTCTTTTCTGCAGTTTTTAAACGAAAAAGAGGGAAACAGCTTCCCCTCTTCGTAAATTTAAAAATATTGGTTGATTCTGTCTCACTAGAATGCGAGATCAAACGATTTGTTTCAATGGTTGTGGATGATTATCCAAAGAACTTATTGATCAATCCTCCTACACCATCAGTGTCTTTCTTTCCGTCGTTGTCAAGGTCTCCGTCAAACATGTCTTTCACGCTGTCGAACATTCCTGCAATTCCTCCTTCATCGTTCTTTCCGTCCGCAGAAAGCTTGCTTGTAACAGAGCTCAAAATTCCTGGAATCGCTCCTTTGGCTTGATCGGCAACTCCTTCAGGAATTCCTACTTTATTCACCAAACGATCGATGAAATCACTTTCTACTTCTTCCGCCAGTTTATTGTCGTCGTCTGTGTTGTCGTTTTCAGACAAAAGGCTCGACATCTGCTTTGGGTTATTGTTGAATTTCGATTTGATTGCGCTCAATGCTTGGTTGGCAACCGATTCTGCTTGTTGCTCAGAAACTCCAAATTTTTTAAGAAGTCCTTGAACAGTATCGTTTTTTAGTAGGTCTTTTACGTCTATCATCTTTCTCTATTATTGATCCTCTTAAAGTTACGAATAAGCAGGAAGCAATAGAAATGTAGAAGGGAAATTTCTATGAGTGGTATCGAAAATGCGGTGAATTGATAAGTCACAAATGAATGAACCAGATCTTCTTTTTAGCGTAATCCTTGAAAACGATTCATGAATAAGACAATCACATTTATAGTGGGGTTTCTACTTTTCGGCTGCACTGAGAATAGGGATGAGGCAGTTTCAAAACCTCTCCTGAATCAGGTGACAGTTGGCGAAGATTATGAGTTTCATAACACAGGAAATGAAGAAAGTCCACTTTTGATTCTCTTTCCAGATTTGGGAGGAAACGCTCAATCAACGAAGGAAAGTTTTGATATTCTAGCAGCGGCAAAAGAGGCCAATGTGTCTGTATTACTGATGAATTT